TATACACCTCTGATTTTTCAATCAATCAATTTTATTTAGGTACGGTGGTCTCCGTATTTGCTGAAGGGAAATTGACAGCTCTGGCTGTTGGAAAAGCTGTCATGTCGACAAAAGATATTGCAGAAAAAAACAAGGAACACAAATTGTATAATTTTTCTTTAATCCTTCAGTTTATCAGCAATACTTGTTTGGGAGTTTATACAATTTGTAATGGCTAAATTCAGTATCAGTCTTCTCTATTTTAATTAAATTAGGAATTGATCTTAACTTTATTATTGCCAGTCCTGGTCTCCCAATTTGGGTTGGCGGTTAGATCAAACACAATTCATCAATTGATTGATCGGACATGGAATTTATTACCTTTATTTGTATTTTTCAGGACACGATTGTTACTTTCTTCATAAAATATTACTAAGTGACTAGTGAGCAAACGTTGAAACGCCTGATCTTCAGAATAAATTGAGTTTGATCTAAAGAAAGGACTGTAAGGGTAATTAATGACCCTTTATGTTGATTTAAGGTGATAATGTCTGATTTACATTGGTACCCAATAAAAACTTTGTCTGATTATGTATATTTTTAAACACACCCTGTCACAGTTCTTGTACGTCTGTACACACCCTGTCACAGTTCTTGTTGTACTTCATTTTCTGCACTACACTCTTGTTTTCCAATGTTCTTTCCTGAGCGTCTGATTATTTCACTTTGCGGATTCTCTGGGAAAGTGTCTGGCTCACTTTATCTGACTTGAATGCATCTCAAGTGAGAAAAACAACGGTATCTTCCACATTTTTATCAGATCAATGTTTCAAGGGTTTCGTTATAAATCGGGGACTGCCATCTTTGCATGGAGGGTCACTTAAAATTGCTCTTGAAGTCCCTTCTAAACCCCTAAAAACTTGACAATAAATTGTGTTGAAACCAGGGTATGGGTGTTGAGAACTACCATTACCTAAACGATGGTTTGTGGAATATGACCTCTGTCAAACATTAGTCCTGTGATCCCCGTCTACACGTGTTCCAGTCCAGGGGTGTATATTTTCTTGATCCCCCCCCTCATTTAAAAATAATTTTTCTTCCCATATTTTTTAGGTACAATTTTGTAAAATTTTTTAAAAAGGGTGAAGTTTGGTGACCAATTTTGCATTTTTTCCCCCAGATTTTCAAAAATCATTTCTTAAAAAAATATACCCATGTTCCAGGTTCTGCAGCAATACACATCATACATTGGAAATTTTTTCTTTTTTTCTTTAAATTATGAAATGTCGCCAAGTATGTTGCAACAAATACAAATAACTAAATTCCTTAGCCACAATTTTTATATAAAAGAAATATAAAGATTTCGAACTTTCTGGTTTCTAATTAAAAAATTGAACTTAATTAACTAATCGTAATTTATGGAAATGGGTTTGTATGAAAATCTTTAACTCTAGAAAAGTTTCTAAAGAACAGATATTCGTTGCTTGTGGTATTGGGCTGGGTACTTCTGTAGGTCTAATTGAATCTGTGTACACTGTATTTCAGATAAAATGCTGAGTAACGTCGAGATAATTGGATAAACAAAAATACTTCTAAAGGTAAAATCTATCAAATTACAAATGAACTCTTTTCTCTTTTCATTTGATTTCTTTTTATATTTTCTGGAGAAATAATTGAAAAAGGAATATTGCTTTTCAAGTGATTTTTTGTCGTTTGCGTAACTGGATTAATTTTTAAAGCAGGTGTTGATAAAATCTCAGTGGTGTAAAGTTATTATTGTTTCACATTTTTTCCCGCATTTTTATTTCTCGAGACCAAATATTTGAAAATCTTTAAAAATCCTTTAATTTCTCTGTGAAGTATGTTTAACTATTTAGTTTTCATTTATTTAAAAATTGTGGCTTATATTGTTCTTAGTTAATCCTTAGTTTATCTGTAGAGCATCATTCATTTTATCTCATTAACTCTAATAAGTTCCTTCTAACGGGGGGGAGGCAAAGCCGCCATGAGCCCCGAGAAATCGTCTCCAGGCCTCAGGATTTGCTGATTGAACTCCAAGCCTTGCAAAACAGGCACCAAACCCCACATTCTGGCTCCGACCCACCTGTTGATTTTAAACTTTAATTTTTCTTGTGGCTTGATAAATCCAAAATTATGAATTTCAAGTACATGATAAATCCCTTTGAATAAACAATAAACTCAATTATTTTTTCAAAAATATAGTCTTTGCATTAGTTCCTGATTTGTTCTCAGAAAAATCTATTATGTATATTATTTTAGTTCTGATATATCTAATATATAATCATATTTATTGTTACCAAGCATCTTCTATTTCAACTTTTCATCTTCTCTTTGTGCAGTATAAAACAAATACGAAAAGTATGCGAATTTTTTAAATATTTAGTCGCGCATTTTCAAATTTTACAAGAACAAAAAACTTTTAAACACAAATTTTTAAAATTTTGATAAATCATAAATCTTCCCTGGGGTCACGTGAGGTCCCACACAAACTTTNCCAACCCTATATCCCTGATATCCCTGGACTATTTATATTACAGGGACTCCAGTCCTCCAACCCTATATCCCTGATATCCCTGGACTATTTATATTACAGGGACTCCAGTCCTCCAACCCTATATCCCTGATATCCCTGGACTATTTATATTACAGGGACTCCAGTCCTCCAACCCTATATCCCTGATATCCCTGGACTATTTATATTACAGGGACTCCAGTCCTCCAACCCTATATCCCTGATATCCCTGGACTATTTATATTACAGGGACTCCAGTCCTCCAACCCTATATCCCTGATATCCCTGGACTATTTATATTACAGGGACTCCAGTCCTCCAACCCTATATCCCTGATATCCCTGGACTATTTATATTACAGGGACTCCAGTCCTCCAACCCTATATCCCTGATATCCCTGGACTATTTATATTACAGGGACTCCAGTCCTCCAACCCTATATCCCTGATATCCCTGGACTATTTATATTACAGGGACTCCAGTCCTCCAACCCTATATCCCTGATATCCCTGGACTATTTATATTACAGGGGCTGCAGTCCTCCAACCCTATATCCCTGATATCCCTGGACTATTTATATTACAGGGGCTGCAGTCCTCCAACCCTATATCTCTGATATCCCTGGACTATTTATATTACAGGGGCTGCAGTCCTCCAACCCTATATCTCTGATATCCCTGGACTATTGGGGAGAAAACATGAGTTCTAGTTCTAGCCATAAATCCTACCGTCCTCTCACTTCCTTCACATTCTGGATACAAGCACAGCAGCATAGGTAAGTTCTGTGTCAGTACAATCATAACCAATATGAAATGGGATTAAAGTTGTTTATATTTAGCCAAGTTTTGCCTTAACTTTCAATAAAAAAATGGTTCTAATAAAACTTAAAATTTTTCCTAAACACTAACATATCTGTCATAAAAGATCCAACCCAAGCTAAAAACATGGTTTAACCATTAGAAAGATCGTACCATGAAACCCCAAAAAGTACGCATAATGCTGTATTGTAACTCTCTGTTAATCATTTTGGTTAAAAAACGATCGTTAGCACACGTTCGCTGTTTGTTCGTTTATGGTTTGTTTTTGGTTCGTTTTTGGGTTCGTTTTTTTGGCACATATTTCCTCTCAGGGTCAAATCAAATCAAGTCAGACTATTAGGGATGTCCATTCTCCATATTTCAGACTCGGGAGTGTATACCAAATCAAATCTTAAACTTGGAATATCTTAAAATTGATAAAGATGTATCTACACAAATAAAAATTTTCCAAAGGGTTTAAATTCTAAATAATATTTTACCCTCAGTATTAATATAAATTTTTATATTCAGGTCTGTGAAAGAAAGTGCTAGATCGATGAAAATAGTGAATATTATGCTTAACTGCCTTGTTACGCTTAGTGCTTACGCATTTTTACCCGAACTTGTCAAACTCTGTAAACAGCAGTACAACAAACTTTTTATTCTATCTACATGTTTATTATTTAGTTTACACCCGGTTCACACAGAACCGGTTATTTCTATAGTGGGCCGAGCAGATTTACTCGCGGCATTATTTTTTATTGTAACCTGTTTGTTCACACTTTGGTTTAATCCTGACAGTTTCATAGGCATTGTTTTTAAACATTTTATAATATCTCTGTTATCGTTTGTATCCATGCTATGTAAAGAGCAGGGAATACTAGTTTTATTATTTGTTTTTCCCCTTCTCCTGGTTAAAAACAGGGAAAAAATGTTCTCTAAAAATACCTGTTTTTTTATTTTATTTGTCGTTCTCAATATTTTCTTTTTTTCCTGGTTCAGACTGAAAGTTGGAAATTATCAGTTTCCTCAATTTCAGAGAGGGGATAATCCAACCGCATTCGAGGCCAAATTTCTTGACAGAATCTTATCTTTTAACTATATAAATGCGCTTAACTTGGGCATCCTAATCTGTCCAATTTGGCTTTGTTTCGACTGGGCTCTTGGATGCATTCCTCCTTTAAATCCTTTAGATTCAAGAGTTTGTTTCGTTTTCGGGTTCTGGTTTATTTTATTTTTATTTTTGGTGAAGATATATTTCGAAGTAAAAAATGGTGAATACTTTCTAGGATTGTCAATGGGTTTGCTCATCATCCCGTTCCTTCTCTGTTTAAATATATTTGTAAATGTTGGTTTTGTAATTGCTGAGAGAAATCTATTTCTTCCGTTACTAGGCTATTCCCTGCTCTACCACATTGGGTTAACCACACTAACTAAACATGTCAAAACCAAACTTGTTTATGTATTTCACACAATCTTGTTGATATTAATACTACTGAGAACCTGTATTAGAAGCAGTGCCTGGAGACAGGAGAATATATTATACAGGACTGGGTTAACAGTGTGTCCTGGCAATGGTAAAGTTCACTATAATATTGCCAAGATACTAGATCAGGAGAACAAGAGATCTCAAGCAATTCTATTCTACAGTGAGGCTGTTAGACTAGGTGAGATTCATTCTTATAAAGGGGTTAGAAGCGTAACATCATATTTAATTGTAACTTAATTTCTATTAAACCCTGACTTAACAGTTGCATTGCCGATTTACACTATGTAACTATTAGGAAGATCAACGTTTTTTATTGTGCCCACAAGAAAGCCCTAAGGTCAGAACTGTTGATTAACTAATCCAAACTTTACTTACAAACTACAATAATAGTATCCAAGTAGCAGGGGACATAAAACTTAAATTGACCGGAGTTTGTTATTCAAAACCGGACATTTTGTTTCCGCTTATATTAATGTAGAATAAATATTTAAAATTCAAGATTTATCAAAAGATTTGTCCGGAAATGGGTTGAAAACCAAAAATTCGTTAGAAAATATTATTATCCGCCAACTTTAAAAAATTAATATTAATATTTTTAAAAACCTTAAACAGGTTGCAAACTTAGTGTCCAACAATTAAACGCGTTTTATGTAGATTAATTAGAAAATGTAAAAGAACACGAGTTTTTTTATTTCTAGTGACAATGAATTCCATATTTGTGGTAGGAAAACTTTAGGAAATTGTTCTAATACTTTTTCTATTGGTCTTTCTAATCTTAAACATTTTGTTCGGTTTTGATGAGACAAAGCACAAAACATATTATTAAACGATTCAGGAAGTCGTTCATTGAAGTATTTGCACATAAAAATTGAACCTTTCAATTGAAGAATATCATGCAGTTTCAAAATATTTAGTTTTCCAAAAAGTGGAATTGTATGTGCATTGAAGCTTGAATTTGAAACTGCTCTTATAGCCTTTTTTTTTTTTTAATATTTTCAATATTCTTGATTTTTTTATTCTTAGAAGCACCCCAACATGTTATTCCGAATTCCATGTGACTTCTAAAAAGTTTATTGTAAATAGTTTTTCTTATTTTTAAAGGTAGTATATTTTTTAGGCTATTTAGAGTAAAGTATGAACTTGATAACTTTTTATTTAGTTTACTATCTAAAGGAAATGTTTTCATTCACTTAATTGAGGGAAATTAATTATTCTTCGGGGAAGGTAAAATATATTAGAATAAAAAATGAATAAAAAAGAAACTTGACTGTTGATATCGAATGTTTCACTTTATTTCCCCAGAGCATCGAAATCATTTCTTGTATTAACAACACAAAAGATCTTAAACTATTAACATATTTTCATATGTTCATAAGTTCAGAAGAAGAATAATAAAATCGATGATTAACATTTCTATGAACCACCTTATTTGATTAACTGGTACAATTATTACTTCAAAGGCAAAGCTTTTATTGCACTAAATAATGCTCTAATGTACTGTACTGTGTGAGTAAAAAAACGGAATTTTTGATGTTTTTGAAAAAAAATAAAATTAAAGTTTGCTTCAAACTTAAGACACAAAAAAAATAAAATGTGAAAAAATATCTAAAATATCTTTGGAACGTTAAAAACAAAATTGATTTAGCGGATTTCTTTATGCCTAAAATCCGAAGCAGAAACATAGATTTTTAAAACGTTGTACAGATTTACGTTGGCAGGTCATTTTCAAAAAGTGGCATAAATTTACATTGGGTCCAGATCCGCAAAAAGATGTGGATCCCCGAATCAAAGGTGCAAACTACCGACCAAAGTCTGTTAATAAGAAGACAGCCAGTAAAAAATATGAGAAAATAAAACAATACAAAGCAAAAAAAAAATAAATGTTTACATACATTAACCTAACGGAATAAAAAGATTTTTTCAGACTATTATTTAAAAACATGCGGAGTTTTTTGAAAGTCGTGAAAAACTCAATAAGGGAAACAAATGTACATCATTAATATTCATTTACTACGTAGCACATATTATTAACAAGTCAAGGATGAGTATGAATAAATGAATTTTATCAAAGAGTCTTTGTTAAAAAAATTCTTAAGAAATATAAGATCATAGAAGTTTCCAGTTGATTAAACTTTTCTGAAAGAGAAGAATAATTCTCCTCCCTAATTGGATATATCCAATTAAATGAATTTTCTAAGCTCAGGGTGGAAAATAAAAAACTTGCCTTTTAAAAAAAATCTCCCTAGGGGTGGGGGGTCGAGGGGGGGGGGCCGAG